ATGGAAAGAGAAATTCCCGGATGTCGTTCAAGCGGTGTTAGCAAGGGTCACATCCGATCATGTTCCTTTGGTCTTGCATTGGGGGTTTGTGCTCTCGAAAATCCCCATTTCGATTTGAGAATGTGGCTGAGAGCAGAGGACTTCCAAGGGAAAGTACGATCTTGGTGGGAGGGAGCAAAGCTTCACGTTAACAAAGAAGTTAAGATCTCTCAAATTCGATCTTAAGCAGTGGAATAAGGATGTTTTTGAGAATCTTGAATGGAGGAAGAATAGAGTTCTTGCTGAATTTTCCGAGATTGATAGTCTTGAGGAGGCGGGTGGGGATGTGGAGTATCTACGTTCCAAGAGCTTCTTGTCAGGCAGTCCTTGCTGAGATTGCTAGTATGGAGGAGATTTCGTGGTGACAAAAATCCCGGGCTCTTTGGCTCAAAGAGGAAGATCGTAACACAAAAAAATTTCACAAATTAGCTAATGCTCACGGAAGGAGTAATCACATAGGACGAATTCGGGTGGAAGGTGTGGAGTTGTGGAGAGAGGAAGAGGTGCGTAATGGGACTGTTTCTTTTTATCAGAAGCTTTACACCGAGCCATTAGCTTGGAGACCCAAACTTGACGGTCTCCATTTTGAGGCTATTTCTAAGTTAGATAGAGATGGGTTTGAGACTCCTTTTACTGAAGACGAAGTTCTAAAGGCTTTGTCAAGTTGTAATGGGGACAAAGCTCCGGGGACTGACGGGGTTACTATGCGTTTTCTGATGGAAAGTTGGGCAGTAGTGAGAAATGGGGTGATGGGTACATTTCAGAAATTTCATTCTACTGGTGTCTTTGAGAAGTCGCTAAATGCCTCATTCATTGCCCTAATCCCTAAGAAGGGAGGCGCTAATGATATTAAGGATTTTAAACCAATTAGCTTAGTGGGTTGTATTTACAAACTCATAGCAAAGGTGCTTGCTTTGCGGATGAGGGAAGTAATGGATGGGATTATCTAGGATTCCCAGAATGTTTTTGTTAGATGGCAGCAAATTCTAAATTCAATTCTTATTGCAGGCAAATGTGTGGATTCCAGATTGCGAAGTGGTGTTCCTGGAGTTTTATGCAAACTTGATATTGAGAAAGCGTATGATCATGTGAACTGGAATTTCCTACTTTATTTGTTACAAAGAATGGGATTTGGAAGTAGATGGAGGAAATGGATTGAGACATGTCTTTCGTCTGTTAAGTTCTCAGTTCTTGTGAATGGATCTCCCGCTGGTTTTTTTTGGGTGTACATAGGGTATTAGTCAAGGTAATCCTTTGTCGTCTTTCCTTTTTCTAATTGTTATGAAGGGCGTAAGCAGACTTATGCGCAGGGTAGGGGATCTTGGTCTTATTAAGGGTTTCAGGGTGGGAAGAGATTTAGCCCATCAGGTGGAGATCTCTCATTTACTTTTTGCGGACGATACCCTGGTTTTCTGTGATGCTGATGGTCTCAACTTAGATACTTAAGGTGCATCCTGGCTTACTTTCAGGCGGGCTAAGAGTGTGCTTGTCCCGATAGGGAATGTTCAGGATATCTCCTCCTTAGCTGCAGTCCTTGGGTGTAGGGTGAGTTCTTTTCCTATTCCTTACTTGGGTTTGCCCCTAGGGGTCTCTTCCAGGAGAGTGAGGAGTTGGGATCCTGTGATTGACAGGTATGCGAAGAGATTGGCAGGATGGAAGAAGCAATACTTGTCTAAGGGGGGTAAAGTAACTATTATTAAGAGCACTTTATTGAGCCTCCCCACATATTTTCTTTCTATGTTCCAAATTCCATGCTTTGTTGCTGATAGGATTGAAAAAATTCAAAGGGATTTCCTTTGGGGCGGAAGGGGAGAAGAGTTTAAGTATCACCTTATCAAATGAGAGCAAGTTTGCAAGCCCACGAAGTTGGGTGGTCTCGGTATTAGAAGCTTGATTCCTTTTAATCAAGCTCTCCTGGGTAAATGGTTGTGGAGATACGGGAGGGAAAGACATCGTCCTTGACTCCTTGGCGAAGGTTAGTTTCATGTCAGTTTGGGAAAGAGAGTGGTGACTGATCTAACCGTCCGGTTTCTATTGTAGGAGGAGTCGGGGTGTGGAAATCCATTCGAAATGGATGGGATGTCTTTTCCTCTCATGTCAGATTCAAAGTACGCCACGCAGATGCGTTCATTTTTGGGAAGATCTTTGGTGTGGTGATCAGCCATTATCTCGTACATTTCCTAGATTATACAGTATTGTAGCTGACAGACACGCCTACGTAACTAACTGTTGTTGGCTTGATAGTAGTGGGATTACGTGGGATGTGCATTTTCGGCATTCCTTTTAGGATTGGGAATTGGACGAGGTATGTGTTTTTCTGGATCAATTATATCGGCAAGAAGGAGTTATAGAGGTTGTGACGATCTGACATGGATCCCCTCTTCCCACGGTTGTTTCGAAGTAAGATCTTTATTCTTATGTCTGTCTAATTTTGATAGCCTTGACTTTCCGTGGAAGACCATTAGGCATTCTATTGCCCCAACTAGGGTGGCATTCTTTGTATGGACCGCTGTTTGGGGTAAGATACTGACGATTGGTAATTTGAGGAAGAGGGGAAATTGTCTTGTTAATTAGTATTGCTTATGCAAGCAAGATGGTGAGTCAATTGATCATATCCTTATGCATTGCCCCGTGGCGCACAACTATTGGAATAGGGGTGCACAAAAGAACCGTGGAACCGGGACCGGGACCGGAACCGGAACCGAATTTCCGGTTCTCACAGTTCTGGTTCCGATTCCGGTTCCGGTTCCTAAAATGAGGAACCGTTGGGATTCAGTTCGATTCCGGTCTCACGGTTTGGTTCCGGAATCGAACCGAACCGTAATATATATATATATATATATATATATATATTATATAATTATACTTGTGGGCTGTGAGCTATGGGCCGTGGGTGCTAGTGCTAGCCTACTAGTTGTAAGTTTGTAACTTAAACCACTAACCACATATTTATTAGATAATATTTTAGGGCAAATCATTTTAGCCTCCCCAACCGCCTCCATCTTTATTCTCGTTCTCGACTCTGAACTTCTCTCTCTCTCTGTGCAACTGCAAACTACAAAATCTACAAGAATCAGAAGTTCAAAACCCATATATTTCACTTTATTTATCTGCCTGCAAGAATCAAAAGTTCAAAACCTATATCGGCATATCAGTTCAGATTGTTCAAAAAATCAAAACCCATATCTTTCAGTTTCCATCGCCCGTTGTTCAGTTCGGGTTCGTAAGCTTCAGTCGCTATCTCTCAACTCTCAAGCTTACACCCCTCTCTCTCTGCAACTGCTAACTTGTATGTATGGGTTTTGTTTTAAATTTTTTTTTTCTAAATCAATTAATCAAGGTCTGTAAGACTGTAATTCTTGTTTTGCAAACTAAATCCTAGTCTATTTCTATTTTTTTTTTTTTTGTGTACCAGAATGACCTTTCATATCAAGCCTTGGAAGGAAGAGGGGTGGCCGGAGATTTGCAAAGCTCCTAGAAAATTTAAGTTTCCATTGTAGCAATCAACGACAGTCCATTGTTCCTTGGAACCAAATCGGAACCGAACCGTGAATGCCGGTTTGGTTCGGTTCGGTCCGGTTCCGATCTCAATGGTTCCGATTCCGGTTCCGGTTCCATTTTTAAGGAACCGTTGAGATCGGTTCCGGTTCCGTTTCCGTTTCCGTTTCCGTTTCCGTCTCCGTCAGGAACCGGACCGTGTGCACCCCTAGTTTGGCATGCGTTGGGTAATGCCATGTTCTTCTAAGGATTTGATTCGTTCTTGGAAAGGATGTTGAGTGAGAAGGGGCGTACGCGATTATTGGAGAATTGTCCCACATTGCATTTGGTGGTGCATTTAATGGGTTCGAAGGGAAGGAGTCGTCTGCGGCGACGCTGAAACTTTATATTGTTCGTTCTCTCTTCAATTATGTGAAGAGGAGTTCTTGCTCCTCTTCAGATGATTTAATTATTTTTTTGGATTCCTTGGGGCCTTGGTCCCGGTTCCACTCTTGTATAAGGGATGCGTTTCCCTTTTGAACACTTTTTTATTTAATTTTTACTTATCAAAAAAAAAAAAATTAACCCACTACATGAAGGTATCAATATGATCAAATGTTACCTTCCCAAAAAAAAAATTTGATCAACTATTCAATGTAAAATAAAGAATCCCCTAAATCTCATATTGAGAATTTAAAAGACAAAAGCCACAAATATATATATATATATATATAACACAAGATCAACTTGTATGGCTATAACTTTTAAAAGACTTCTCGTCTCCTCTCTAAAGATTGTAGTTTATCTCATTGTAGCTTTTTCCTTTTATTTCTTTTTTAAACCCTAACTAGTTATTAACGTATTATATTGTTAGGATACTAGGATTATTAGGTTGCTAATATGCCATATTCCTAATAAAAGTAGGATTATAACTCATATAATTTAATGTTCCAAAATTAAATCTGATCCTCAAATATTTTAAAAAATCAATTTTAAAAATTTGTAGGCATTACATTCCACACACCTCATAGAAATTTCATCCCCGAAATTTCTTCCCCGAAATTTGTACACCTTAAATGAAATATACATTGTACGAACCCTAAACTTAAATCATGCTTCACACTTTCTCTCGTCTCTCCACTAATCCTTGAACTCTAGACCTAGAGGCAGACCAAACAAGGTAACTCTTTTTTCTTTTTTTTTTGGATAAGTAACCAAACAAGGTAACTCTTAAGCCAAAGAGGCCATAAGAGGACCAGTTCTTCACACTTTGATTAGAATCCAAGCATGTAATCCATCAAAACATGTCATACTGTCAATCAGTCTTGCTACTCTAATGTTTCTATTTAAACATATATATAGTAATCTACTAATCTCACAATATTGCAACCTCAAATGTCATCTCTAGATACACCAATGCAATGATCCAGTTACTTATGGCAACAATGGAATAAATTATCTAGTACGAGGAAGAAGACACAAACCTCACTCCGATGCCTGTACATGCCACCATAACAGTGCATAACCAGGTACCCATTTGAATCACCTGGAGGCGCTGCCAAATTAAGGAAAAACGTAAAAAGGAAAGAAAAATCAAAAGTTGCACAAAGTAGTATAACCGACTTAAAGCAGAATCTTAAAGCATCTGTTGACAAAATTAAAATTATTAACGCAGCCAAACTGATCAAGGTGATCAAGACGCTTTCCAACCATTTAGTGGTGCAGTGCCCTCCAGTGTCTCGATACCAGTCTGCCAACCATAACATACATTGAACATATCAAAACCTTTGTGCACCCATCTTACATGTAAATTACTAGAATATAAGTGAAATAAATGACATTCACAAGCAGATTTTTAACCATAAAGAATTACAGCAGAAAAGAATGATCATTGTTGTTCAAGTATTAGATTTTATGCAGGACAAAAAAAAATGTCAGTAGCTTGCACCCTAAACATGCTTGGGGGATTAGGGAGGGGGTGTCTTGCCACGTGGCACTCAATGCCACCTAGCATGAATACTTTATGATTTTTGGAAACTTTCCACATTCTAATTTTTGAAAACTTTCCATGCTTTGATTTTGGAAACTTCCCTAATTTATATGATTTTCTGATTTTTAGTAACTTTCCTTTATTGTAATTAAGCCAATTATGGCTAGAATTGCCAGGAAACTCGATATAAAAGGTGGCTAGGGTATTTGAGAGAGGGTAATTAATATTATTGTTAATAGAATTGCAGCAATGATTGTTTGCTATTTTTTTTCCTCGTTCTAGCATTCTTTTCGTTCTTCGTTTATTTCTCTCTTCCTTTAGATGACAATTGTTTGTCGTCTCTTGGTAAGGCCACATCAGTTTGATATCAGAGCTTTGGTTTCGGCATTCCGACTGCTCGATCATGCCTCCACAACAACAACTGAGAGGGGGAAATCATAGGATGAAAGGTCCAACTACTCGATCGACCTTGCCCCTGCCCATGAAACTCACAATTCCACCCCCCTTGGGAGCCCAACGTCCTCGTTGGAACACTTCCAGCTGGTCAGGCTTTGATATTATTTTGTAACGACCGGATCCACATGACAATATTTTCCGCATTTGGTCGAAGCCCGCACACCGTTGTTCCTGGGCGTAAGCCAAAATGTGTTGTACTAAGTAGATACCCACCCTCACATATATAGCACATCCCCTTTCCACACCCAGGCGATGTGGGACTTGTTCTTGGGCAGGGGTAAGGCCCTGGTCGTGCCCAAGAACAAATCCCACATCGCCTGGGTGTGGAAAGGGGATGTGCTATATATGTAAGGGTGGGTATCTACTTAGTACAACGTGTTTTGGGATTAGGCCCAGAAACAAAGCAGTGCAGGCTTCGGCCCAAAGCGGACAATGTTGTGCCAACCCCATCGTCACAATTACCACCAGCCCACAAAATGCCACTATTCCCACTGCCTTTGTCCTTGTCAATCTCAGCAACTCAATCACAAAACCCACAACCTACCCCAACCCCTTTCAACACTACCTTTGCAAAACCCAGATCGAAACACTGGTTGTTATTCGTAGCCGAACCCCAAAACCAAAAACCATCAGCACCGTTGCGTCACCGTTGGAAATCCGCCATACCAGCACCCGTCGTCAAGGCATCCTTCCTTATCGGAACCAATTTACTGTCAGTGGTAATCGCGTCACCCATCAGCCGTCATTGCCAGACTGCCCTCGTTTTTCGCCAGAGTTCGTTGAAGATTTCATCGCTTCATAGTCGCCGAGAATTTTGGATCCCCTCGCTCGCATCACAAATCTATCGTATCGCAATTTCAGCTGAGAAATCAGCAATTCAGTCATGTCTATTGTCTTCACAATTGATTTTGGGAAGTCAAATTTGGTTGTAAGGCTCAAATTATTTTTTGGGCCCAATTCAGTTTTAATCAAGCCCAATATGGTCCATGACTTCATGCGAGGAATTCAACTCACTGCTCACCCTTGGCGGTTTTTGGGCCCCTTCCCGATTTGAACGGTTTCCAAACTTCTGTTCTCGGTGTGGAATTAGTGGTCATATGTATCAGAACGTAGAAGCGAGAGGCCTGAGGGATCTTCATCGAGACTCCATGTTAACCAATGTGGTCCATGACTTCATGCGAAGGGTCTGGTTGGATGGCCCCTTGATCGGCCTCGAGGTTCCCGTTTGACGGACAGGCAGGAGAAAAGATGATTTTATGAGGACTGTAATGATATTGAGGATCCTAAATCGCTGGCGACGTCTGAGCAGGGATCTTACCAGCTTCCGAGGGTGGCCACGGGAGTCAACAACAGGACGCTGACAAGTTATGTCGAGCAATGACAAACGCTGAGGAAGGCAGCATTGTTGCATGCATGGGATGCCAAAGGGAGGGGGCTATGGATATGGACCAAGGTAATATGGGCCAATGTGATAAGGGTCAGGCAACAGATTGGGCTATGGTTGAAGGTGACCCATTCTTGTTACTGTTTTCAGATCAGGTTGGGCATCTAGCAAAGAAGAATATGCCGATGGGCCTTTCTGAGCCTAGAAGGGATGTTTCTGAAGGCTCATCACATGGTCCAGAAAACCCATCAAATGGCCAAGTCGTCAAATACAAGCCAGGCCGTAAGATGCCATTAGCCTGTTGGGGCCGTTCGATTAAAAATTATAGAAGCCCATCCTCGACCAAATCTGGAGCCCAAAAGAAGCCAGTGGTAGGATCCAAAAGACCTACAACAATTTTGGGGTCCTAGCTGGAAGAACGATCCAAGAAACGCCATCATCAAGAGGCACTAACAGACACTACCAGTCGCTCGAACAACAAATGTACTGGTAGGCAGGTGGCTCGACAGATGACTAGCCAGCAATTGATGGATGAAGAAACTCCGTTAGTTCCCAGCACATCCAAAGAACAGGTGGGGGTTGCCAGCCTCAAATGGCCCCATGGGGATCAATGAAGACTGATTTGGAACTGTCGTGGCTTAGGGAACCCCCTGACAGTTCGGCAATTGAAGAAGCTCATTACTCCTCATTCCCCAAAAATGGTAGCACTATTAGAAACAAAAAAAAAAAAAAAAACCGTAAAGTTATCGAAGCTCTTCAGACCCAAATGGGTTTTCTTTAAAAAAATTAGGCACTATGCTCAATAGTATGTCTTCAACTCTAAATTTCCTTCAATTCTAAGTGTTTTGACTTAATTTGAGTGCATCAACATATTATCAACATCATCAGTCGTCATCACTAGAGTCAGCGTTGACATGAACATCCTCATATCTTTAACATTAACTCATCTAGAATCGACATCTAGAATCACATAATCCTCTTGCATAGATATACATTTGATTAAGATAAATTGAAAAGAGACTTCCTATCATAATTGGTCATTTTAAAACCAACATCACTACTAAAACAGCAAGGGGATTTATAAAATTCAATTAGCTAGGCAGAAAAAAAAAAAAACATACCTATTATGTTGATGCGATTTTGTTTTTGCCATTTCTCTTCCGTCCGGACTCCGAATCAAGTAATTCTTGAGTCTAAGTTCATTAATTTTTTGTTGTCTATCCAATGAGGTGCTCGGTGGCACCCATAACTTTCTGAAAATTACCGTTTTGCCCCTAGGGCTAAAATTGTCCATTTTTAAAATATCGCTTCCGCATTTTGTTTTCCTTTAAATTCCGTGACTTCATGGAAAGTCACCCTAGCGTTCTTGGGATGCCGTTTATCCCTAGAGATCTTGTTTTCTTTGTTTTCACTTCCGCATTCCGGATCTGTTATCGAGTCACTTTCGGGTCACATTGACACATCCAGGTTTGTGAAAATTCGGAACGTCATAGTAAGTCCCACGTAACTTGGACCGTTTGACTTGTGGGCATCATTGCTGACGTGGTGTCGCTTGTTGATCGTTAAACCAAGTTTTGTGGACCATTGTTGATGATGTGGCATAGTCCGTTGACCGTTTGACCAAGAAATGTGAGCCATGTGGAGTGAGATATATTCAACACCTACATTTAGTCCCCCTGCGCGGGTGAGCTTTGTATAATTCGTAGAAGGTTAGCTGTGCATAAATGACTCGAAAGTGATGCTTATACAAGGTTTTACTTGACTTGGTGCGATATCAGGGTTTGGTGACCTAGAACGATAACAGTGTTTGGTGACCTGGTGCGATACCGGGGCTTGATGACCTGGAGTGATACCAGGGTTTGGTGAGCCGAAGCGAGACCATAGTGCGGTGACCTAGTGCAGTACCGTGGTTTGGTGATCTAGTGCGATACCAAGGCTTGATGACCTAGAGTGATACCAGGGTTTGGTGACGTGGAGCAATGCCAGGGGTTACTAGTGAGTGCGAGATAAGAGTGCGAGTGAGTATTGGCACGAGCGAGTGCAATAGCTAGAGTGTGTAAAAGTGTGTAAGCCAAGTGGATGGTGATAGACACTATAACATAAGTGATAGGCATGAGCAAGTGCTAGTGAGTGTTGGCACATGTGGGTGCGAGAGTTCGAATACGAGTGAGTGTTTGATCCAGGTGGATGGCGTGAGACATCACAACGTAAGTGATAAACATGAGCGAGTGCTAGTCAGTGTTAGCACGAGCAATTGCAATAGTTTGAATGATCGAGTGCGGATGAGTACTGGCATAATGGAATGCGATAGACTCAACGTTGACATCAATACCCTCATAACGTTAACATTAACATCCTCATCTAGAATCGTCATCTAGAATCACATAATCTTCTTGCATAGATATACATTTGATTAAGATAAATTGAAAAGAGACTTCCTATAATAATTGGTCATTTTAAAACCAACATCATTGCTACAATGGTAAGGGGATTTATATAATTCAATTACCTATGCAAAAAAAAACATACCTATTTTCTTTTTGCCCACTCCACCCATTCCCATCAACTCTCTTCTTTCAGAAAAGAAACCTATATTATTAGAACAAAAGAGGAGAAGTTTTAAAAGCGTTAACAAACTTGTAAAACATATATTCTGAAATTGAAAACTAAACTTCCAAGTCTTTAATTCCCATTAATAAATTGTTCGAGCATCACATCATAACAATATCATATATATGTATGTAGAAACAAAAACAAAAACAAAAAATCAGTATGTAAAACATGAATAAATAAACGTGACTAATAGCTAAAAATGCCAATTAAAATTTTAGAAAAAGTAAGAGTTTGTTACCCGATGACTGAGGAGGCATGTTTCTTGAACCTTGTTCTTACTAAATGTTAAGACCCGATGCTAACCCTAAAAATAAGAAAACACTCGAATTGTGAGGAAGAGGTTTCACAATCTCACTCATAACAATTAAAACACCACCATCTAAGTACTATCTGTATTATGTATCAACACAACCCAATTATGCTTTCAGTCAAAATGTCGGACACCTATCCGTAGAAAGAGGTGTGATTACAGATAGGTGTGATTAGCACATATTATACTCAGCTCTTATGTTCAATTAATCCAATAACAAAGTACAATGCATCAGTTTAGGAATAATCTTCAAAATTAACAAATCAATATCCTAATATTCTGCATTTTAATAACAAAAGAAAATCAAAAACCAAAATTTGAAAATAAAAATATGACAGAAAGATTGAATATATCCTTAGTGCATTACACAGATTGTATTTCTATGTGAAACAAAACATCCACGATTTCTCAATGAGGTGGGCTAAATCAAAATATATCAACCAAAATCAACTGTTGTTTAATTCAATTTTAGTTAACTAACAATGTTTATTTAGAGAATTTTTTTTTTTTTTGATAAGTAACAATGTTTCTTTAGAGAATTGACTGATTAAGGCATAGAAAATCCTATTTAGGTAATTAATAAAATAAAAATAAAAAAAATTACCAATTTATTTCTGAACAATTCACCTCTGTACCCTATCTCTTCTTTTGACCAATTTACTAATCCTATTTGAGAATCTACTAGTGGAAGCAAAGCGTGAGGTAGTTCATTGCAAGCCCCTTCCAACACTTTGGAATTCACTCAAAAGCATGCTTTCTGTAAGTATTTTAATTTTCAAGAAGTAACTTTAGAGCTTTACCCTATATTAAGTACTTTTGCTTGTCAAAGTTCTTGTTATGATTTTTTTTTTTTTTTAGTTCTGAAAAGATTTCCATCTTCAAAAAGCTTGGCATGTTGATAAAAATTGTTTCAGATTCAATCTATGCAGATTTCTAATCCAATTCAGATTATTTTTTTCCTTTTTTCATGCCCATATTCAAATTTTCTTGTAGACATAATTGACACAACAAACAAACAAACAAAAAAAAAAAAAAAAAAACAACAACAGAAACAGAAGTTATAGAAATAAAAATATATATATTTGTTTTGCTGAAATAAAATGTAGATTACGGTGATTACCTCAAAATGCAATGCAAATTTTGTTACTTTATATTGGAAAAAAAAATTTATTTAAAAAAGGTCATAAAAATTTTCACCAAGGATTTAGTTTGCAAAACAAGAATCACAGACCTTGATTAGTTGATTTTAGAAAAACAATTTAAAACAAAACCCATACATACAAGTTAGCAGTTGCAGAGAGAGAGAGGGGGGGGCAAGCTTGAGAGTTGAGAGCCAGCGGCTGAAGCTTGCGAACGGCGAACCCGAACTGGAACAGCGGGCGATGGGAACTGAAAGATATGTGTTTTTGATTTTTTGAACAATCTGAAATGATATGCCGATATGGGTTTTGATATAGGTAATAGGTTTTGATTCTTGCAGACAGATAGATAAACTGAAATATATGGGTTTTGAACTTCTGATTCTTGTAGATTTTGTAGTTTGCAGTTGCAGAGAGAGAGAGAGAGAGGGCAAGTTCAGAGTTGAGAACGAGATAGAGATGGAGTAGGCTGAAATGATTTGCCCTAAAAATACTGATATATATTTTTCTTGTAGACATAATTGACAAAATATATATATATTTGTTTTGCTAAAAAATAAAAAAATAAAAGTAGATTACGGTGATTACCTCAAAATGCAATGCAAATTTTTTTTTCTTATTGTAAAAAAAAAAAAAAAAAATTATATAAAAAAGATGATAAAAAAATTCAACAAAAAGGTTGCAAAACAAGAATTACATAGCTTGATTAGTTGATTTATAAAAAATAAAAAAATTAAAATTAAAATACTTACAAAGTTAGCAGTTGCAGAGAGAGAGAGGGGCAAGCTTGAGAGTTGAGAGACAGCGGCTGAAGCTTGCGAACGGCGAACCCGAACTGGAACAGCCGGCGATGGAAACTGAAAGATATGGGTTTTGAACAATCTGAAATGATATGCCGATATGGGTTTTGATATAAGTAATAGGTTTCGAACTTTTGATTCTTGCGGACAGATAGAGAAACTGAAATATATGGGTTTTGAACTTCTGATTCTTGTAGATTTTGTAGTTTGCAGTTGCAGAGAGAGGGGTGGAGGCAAGTTCAGAGTTGAGAACGAGAATAGAGATGGAGGCGATTGGGGGAGGCTGGAATGATTTGCCCTAGAAATATATTTTTGTTCTGAGGGGAAACAGATCCTTACCAATGGTTGTTCGACACGTTGACGGCTACAGATGTTCACCAGTTGTCACTTGCAGTGGGCAGTTAAAAACGAGTCTCTGTTCGAAAGCATTGTGTATTTCAAGAGGAGAGTGAAAAATTATATTTGTGTAATATTTAGGGATATTTTTTTTTTTTTTTTTTTTTCAGAGTATTCTGCCGTACCATGTACGTTTCTTTTCTTTTCTTTTTTCCTAAAGACCATAGCATGTTCATATTTACAGCTTTATGTACGGTGGGTTGGATGCAATTAAAGTTTTCAATTGAAGTTTTCACACAGGTCGAAATCTTAATTTATGCATGATGTGATATGGATGAAAATGCCCTGTTTTATTGTGTGGATGCAAAATCAAACAATGCAGGTTCAAATTTTTTAAATTGAAGCAAGAGTGATAAAAAAAAAGTTTCAATAAAGTTTCCAATTCTTTCACTCGTGTAATTGATATTTTTTTTTACAGCTTTATGTACGGTGGGTTGGATGCAATTAAAGTTTTCAATTGAAGTTTTCACACAGGTCGAAATCTTAATTTATGCATGATGTGATATGGATGAAAATGCCCTGTTTTATTGTGTGGATGCAAAATCAAACAATGCAGGTTCAAATTTTTTAAATTGAAGCAAGAGTGATAAAAAAAAAAGTTTCAATAAAGTTTCCAATTCTTTCACTCGTGTAATTGATATTTTTTTAAAAAAAATAATACCAATGATACAATTATTATAAAATTTGAAATAGGAATACAATTTATAGAATTACAAACTTGTCTAAATTTTAAGTTTAAACTTCATTTGATAGAAATCTAACTTTAATACATGAACACTTGTAAGTGCATTTGTATTTTTGTACTAAAGTCTAGGCATTTTCAAACACTTGTAAGTGGATTTATACTAATGTAAACACTTGTAATCTGTAATTTTGTTGGTTGTTGAAGTGCATTTTACTAATTTATTTATTTTTATATAATTTTATATTTTTATAAATAAATTTAAATAATAAAATACAAGAATACAAATTGTCATTGCCAAACAAGTTTTTTATTTTTTGTTTTCAATATATATATATTTTCCCTAGTTGGTACTCACACACACTTGTCTCTTCTGAGACTTGAACCCCTGACCTCCCTTTGAAAAGTAAGAAACTGATACCACTAGGCCACTGGCCCGTTGATACTTTCAATATTTTCACAACACTGAGGTTACCAAACATGTTTTCATGTTTTTGCTTCCATGCATAGATGTTACCAAGCATGTTTCCATGTTGGCTTCCAAAGCATCGACGTTAGTAAACATGTGTTTTATGTGTTTTGCTTCCAAATTTCAGAACATTACCAAACATGTTTTTATGTTTTTGCTTTCAAAAATCTTACAACAAATAGACGTTACCAAACAAGTTTCAGAACAGTATTCAATACCCTCTAAAGCAGAAACATTGCGTCTGCTTCAGGTCATAATAAAAGCACAAAGCAACTATGGTTGCCAAATGAGCCCTAAATATCCTCTAATACCTCTCCCTCTAATCTTATATAGCGCAAGAGTAAGTAGGTTTTGGGTCCCACCACTAAAACACCAAAACGGCCCTTTATGTCCCTTAATTCTCTACATATTGCTCACAGACATATAAGGCTACACAACATAAACTTTCAGTGTCCAGCATAATATAAAATAAGGAAAATAATATTGAGAAAATTTCCGAACTCGAAACCCTATCCAGGCCCACATGGGGACCTCCTAGGCTCACAAATTTGAAATGTCTAAAATGATTCTAAATACATTTTTAAGAGTCCATGACTCAAAGTAATGTCCAAAATGAATTATGAAAACCCGTGGCACGCAATCCCACACATACAATGCACAAAAAACAAAAAAAAGCTAGAAAATGCAAAAATAATGGTGGTCAGAAGACCACATGACACATCGATTCCTAAGCTCTACTCACAATCCCATCAAAAGTTGAAACAACACAGATCATCATATAATCATATGACCACACAATCGATCTCCAACAATAAGGTCAATTAGTTCGTTATGCACATCAACTCCAAGGTGACTAAGAAATGCAACATTCTCACAATCAATTTCCTCAAGTGTACTATCGAGTATCCAAAACACAAGTCTCTAAGACGTAGTCCAAAAATCAATCTAATCAAACCATATAAAAGAAGAAGAAGGTGATAAATCACCCAACCTCAATACAATCTCATCACCATAACACTATATCATGCGCCACTCGACGTCATTACAAAACAACCTCATGTCAATCATGTTGGTAAAATGATATCAAGGTTCGCCAACAAAAATAAGTCCTTAAGAAAATCAACAAGCGACAAAAATCATATCAAGAAAACACTAAGTCATTCTCCTCATGTGTGTTAATACATGAGTCTACCATTACTCAATTGTCACGTCAAAATCTCAATAATTAAATTAATCACATATTCTACAATGAGATAAGAAAATCTCCATTAATCAACAACCACAATCATAATCTCTTAGGTTTACACCTAGTCAACTGAGCTAAAATAGGAGCTCCACAATAAATGATTCACACAACTCCCAAATCACAAATACGACATTCGAATTAGGATAACCCTCTATTTGAAATTGAGCTACAATATCATTTAAACTTGTGCCCCAATATGAATCTCCTCCCAAGAAAAACAAATTAATCATTCATAAGATAGTGACTCGTCATCTGTGTGCCCAACCCAACTCTTTATACCAATCCTTAAACACTAAAATCATATAAGTCTCTACAAAACCCAAAGTCAAACTCCCCAAAAGGAGTCACTAAGGCACACAAGATCAATCTCCACAATCAATCCATGACAAAGTGATGACATTCACAGCTCTAGCATCCCCAACCATGCCTACAACAAGGCTACATAAGGAGAACCATAACACCAATGGAAATATTTAATTGAGCATCATAATACATATAGAAGCATTCTTTGTCGAATACGTAAAATAATGCTAAACATTTAACATATAGTCATGTTTAACACATAGCATATAACATATTTGGCACATTAAACATAACATGCGGTATACACAATATAACAAGTACTTCATAACCTTATACAAGTAGTATGTAGTCACATAGAGCATGCTTGATCACATATCATATACTTTAAACTTAAACATATAACAACTAGTCAAGTGAACGTACTTTATCACATAAAACACCCTAGCCAATAAACACATAGGACCAACTAATTAAATCTCAACTCTGTCTAGGTAGACCCCTACTCGTCGTCCTTATGTTTTTGAACCTAAAACTCTAATGCCAACTTTGTCATGACCTAAATTCATAGGACTCGATGAATGGAAAGGTCATAATTGGGCTCTTAATCAAGCCACAAAGGTGCAAAGTAATGATAAATAATCTTTATATTAGATGATTAACACCTTCCATAAGGTTCAAGTGGTTGGGATAATGGTTTCCCATAAATGGGTAGCTTCAGTTTGGGAGATTTCATTACCATACCTCACTCAAATAGTCATAACTCTTTGTAAAGTTTAAATTTTTGAATGAGGTTGGTACCGCTGAAAAGCTAACTTCAAGCCCATCAAACTGAACAAAATTTTGACTTACTTTGGATTAAAAATGAGAGAGATATGGCCGTTTGAAGTTATAAAGTCAAAGCTGATTGAAAGGGGGAAGTTAGTCGGCTCAAAATCTGTGTCAGCCGGCTCAAAATGCAATGCTAGCTGGCTAACACTTTACATGAGCTGGCTGAAATACTTTTGATCATTTCATTACATCAATGGAAGATCATGTAGAGGATCTCAGTCATGTAGACCAACAAGGCAATTAGCATCCAAATGTTGGGCCACAACCCAACAATATACAAATTCCTTTGGGAATGCCAAGGCCACCACTTGTTCCACAACCACCAATTATGCAAGTTCCTCTTGGAATTCCAAGACCTCTCTTTGCACCACCACCTCCTCTAGGACAAGTTCCTATTGGAGTCAATATAGAGCAACAAGTTCCCAATCCTCCAATGGTTCTAAAAGACCATTATGTGCTAAATGAGTATAATGCCCCGACATGTATCCGGCTTTCGAATTTTAGGGCGCATCACTATGAGATTAAACCTTCTACCATTCAAATGTGCCCAATTTTCTTTGGGTTAAGCAATGAGGAGCCATATAAACATTTGAATAAGTTCTTAGAAGTTGTTCTACTATAAAATACACGGATGTGTCCGAAGAAGTGTTAAGGTTAAAGCTTTTCCCTTTCACTCTTCGCGATAAAGCTAAATATTGGTTCAACAACTTACTGGCTAATACCATAACATCTTGGGCAGAAATGCAACAAGAATTCTTAAAGAAGTATTATCCCGCAAGTAGAACCAATGCCATGCACACATCAATCCGTGAATTTTCTTTAGGGGATGGAGAACTTCTACACGAAGTGTGGGAGAGATTGAATGATTTGCTAAAAAAATGTCCACATCATGGCATTCCAAAATGGCAATTGGTTCAATACTTCTACGAGAGCTTATCCGAAACCCAAAGGGTATGGTAGATGCTTCGTGTGGAGGTATTTACTTAGAAAGGCATGAAGATGATATTTGGCACTTATTTGAGAATATGAGTGAAAACTCCATGCATCGGTCAAGTATATCAAACGAAATACTTCAAAATCCAAAACAAAAGCTCCTTTAAAAAAGAAAGGCTGTAAATGCTACATCTGCAATGAAGAAGGACACATTGCACCCAATTGCCCAAAAAGGGAAAAAGGAACATCCAAAATGATCAAAAGGATCGAAACTGAAGATCTTTGTGTCATCTATGGTAAAGTCCTCTCTGATTCAGATAATATTCTTCACGAAATGTCTAGTGAATCAAAATCAGATGTCAGTGCCAAAGAAGTTTTTATGTTAAATTTTACTTCTCATCCCAAAGAATCCTCTAACATTAAACTCAGCAATGTTATTGGAGAAGAAGTCC